TGATGAGGAGAAGGAGGCAGAGGGGAAGAGACACAGCGGAAAATATGACAAAATCTTGTGTGTGTGCAGACATGACAGGATAGCATGTGCTAGAATGGGGCTCCCTGCAAAAGTATGGACTCACTGGGCTCCCTCTCTGCCGGAGGAGGGAGAGGAAGAAATGCAAGATGTGTGCCACTGCTTTTCCTAGAATAGAACAGAAGCAGAGCTGGAAAGAGCCTAGAAGGCCCTTGAGTCTAACCCACTGCTCCACTTCCACATGAGGTCACCCACCCAGCTGCAGGCCTGTGGCTTTTCAGCTTAGCAAACGGGGCTTAACTTGCTAGCTCAATATATAGCTAGCATAAGACAAAACCTCTCATTTTCTTGGGGGTTGCAGTGTACCTCTGTGCCTGGGGATGATGTGCATGGTTGCTAGAACCATGTGGCTGATTCTGCAAGAGAAGAGTGGATGTGGATGGCTATTCCTGAACTCCATGCCAATCAGTGGGAGCAGCAGGAAGGCGAGCTGAAAAAGATCACTAACAAGCATTCCTGGGGAATTTAAAATCCATATAACGAACAGATTTGTGTTACTAAATTCAACTGACCATGAACCAGGAGAACTATGGAGTGAAACCAGAGACATGATTAGAGAGCAATGCCAAAAGACAATTCCTGTAGCAAAAAGAAAGAAAAAACCTAGATGGATGAAAGAAATACTCCCAGTTGCTAAGGATAGGTGAGAAGCAAAAGGTGACAGAAATAGGGTCAGAGTCCTGAATGCAGCTTTTTTCTATCTCATAGAGACAAAAAGAACTATTATAATGATCACTGTAAAGAAACAGAAGAGAAAACAAAAGGGGAGAGGGGGAAGATCTCTTCCAAAAAAAATCCAAGAAATCAAAGGGAAATTCAAACTTGGACTAGTAGTCCTGACAAGACAAACAGGGGGACATGCTATCTGACCAGGAGAAAATAAAGAGAAGGTGCAAACAGTATACAGAAGCGACTTCTTTGAAGAGGGAACCTGTAAGGAAGAGCCTGCAATACTGGAAAGAAAAGTGAAAGCTGCTCTGAAAGCATCCAGAGTAGATAGGGTGAAAATAGAACTATTGCAAGGTACAGAGACTGAATCAATCCAAATTCTCTCCTCCACCCCCCCTCCACTATATATATAAAGATGGGGGGAATCAATGGTGCACAGAATGGAAATGTTCAATATACATTTCAATCCCCAAGAAAGGAGATTAAAAAGAGTGCAGCAGCTACAGGGCCATTGTATTAATTTCCCATACAAGCAAAGTGATGCTCAACATGTTGCAACGAAGAACATTATGGAGTGAAAAATGCCAACATTCAAACTGGATTTCAAAAAGAAGAGGCACTCAAGATCATATCATAAATATGCATTGGATGCTACGGATGGTCCTAAAAGAAATAGGAATGCCTCAGCACTTGATTGTTCTGATGTGTAACCTGTATCCTGTAATTTGGACAAAAGTGATACTGTTAGGACAGAATATGGGGAATTTAAAATCCATATAATGAACAGATTGTATTACTAAACTCAAGTGACTATGAACCTGGAGAACTGATGGAGTGAAAGAATGCCAACAGACAATTCCTGTAGCAAAAAGAAAGAAAAAAGCTTAGATGATTTGCTATAGAAAAGGTGCATTTTATCTCCCCATTTGTTCAATCTGGATGCAGAACATATAAGGAAAGCTGAATTAGAATCAGAGGAAGACACAACAACAATTTAAGATATTCAAATGATATCACATTACTGGCAGAAAGCAGCAATTAACTGAAGCCTCTTATAATGAAAATAAAAGAAAGGAATTACTAAAGTGGGACTGTAGTTGAACATTAAGAAAAAATCATGATTACAGGAGACTTACATAACTTTAAGGTCAACAATAAAGAAACTGAAACTGAAATATTTGTATACTTTGATAAAGTCATCAATTCAAATGAAGTCTGCAGTCAAGAAACTAGAAGTCTTGGAAGGACAGCAATGAAGCAACTAGAAAAGATCATCAAGTGTAAGAATGACCAAGTCCAAGACAATCCATATCATTCTTTTCCTTATCACTATGTATGGGTGTGAAGCTGAACAGAAGGAAATAGATGCTTTCAAAACATGGTGCTGGAGAAGAACTTTGCAGATACTCTGGACTGACAGAAAGACAAACAAGCAAATCCTAGATCAAATCAAGTCAGAGCTTTCCCTGGAAGCCAAAATTATGAAAGCGGAGATTGTTTTAGGCACATCATGAGAAGGCAGGACTCACTGAATAATTCAATCAAGTCATGCTAGGGAAAGGACAGGACATTTTGGAGGAGATTTATTTACACGGTCACCAAAAGTCAGAAATTACTTGATTGTCGCATGCTGGATGAGAAGATTTAAATTTTCCTGTTTAGATTTGAAAGAATTAAAACCTGGCTTAGCCCTGAAAAAGATTTTACCTCCTATTAGTTGTTTATTGTAGATAAGATTCCACATCCACCCCCTCCACTCCAGCTGCACACTGAGAAATGTTCCCTTTCTCACTGTGCACCTGGGAGAAACTCTTATCTCTGATTAAATGCTAATCGGAGATAGGAGCTTTCCCCTGCCTGGAAAGGAGCAGAAGAGGATATTCATGGGCCAGAGCTTGCTGTACCTTTTACTCTTCTGTCAGTTTTTTATACTCTTTTCCAAGATTCTAAGTAAAATAACTGAGCTATTGTTTCAGCAATTTGGTTCATGTTTGGCACTACTAATTTGGCTAACTACTGGTGGGTTGCTCCTGTCTTTACAAAATGGAACTGTGTTATAGAATCGAAACTTCAGAATTATTCAAGGAAAGAGGCAGTTTGACAGGAGCAATTTTTCACATGACATTAGCCTGTAAAATCTCAATTTGGCTGTAGTAGGGGACAAGTTGGAGCACCACTACAGCCACTCATTTTATTTATTAGATTTCTATCCAGCTTTTTTCATATAACAAACTCAGCTTACATAATTCTCCTTTTCCTGCTCTCAATCTTATCCTGACAACAACAATCTTGTGAGGTAGGTTGGCCTGATAGTCTGTGACAGGCTCAAAGTCACCCATTTGGCTCCACAGCTGAGTGGGAACTAGAACTCAGATCTCCTGAGTCCCAGTCCCATGCTCTTAACCACTACACCACACTGGCTCTCACCACAAGCACAAAAAACCCTCCCTGAGGGTGGAGCTGTCTCTGGTTGGTTGGTAAGGGAGAAGTGGGATTCAGTTTGGAATCAATGTCTTAGCCTGAACAATACTTTCTCTGTAATTAGCTGGCACATTACCTTGATAGATGTCTTTTTCTAGGTATGTCTACAATGTTTCCTTTGTATCGCAAAACTTTAACATAATAAAAGACTGTATTTAGTAGCCTTTTTCTTGATCTGGGAGAAGAAAAGGAGGGAGATGGAGGGAGGGGGAGGGGGGACTGGCTCACAGCAGCTTCACTGGCAATAGTATCAAATTTAGAATGGGTTATATATTTGATTCTTGCCATGCTTGTCATGAAAATTTTATGTGTCTGCTTTAACAGAATAGACTCCTGAGATCAGTTCCTTCATCAACATGGTGCTGAAACAAAGTAATTCTTAAGTGAGTGAACAGCACTTATATGCCCCTGCTCATCTTTTCTTAGCCATTTTGTAAACCTGTCTGGAGTCAGAGTTGAATATCAACGGATCTTCTTTCCTTCCTTTCAGTGAATTTTGCAGAGCTCAGCTAGGAATAAGGACAGCTACTCCCTGGAGCTCCACTTGCGCTCTTTGACATTTTGCTAACAGTTCAAACTACGGGACTCAGCTTATCACCTGGAGAGCAGCCTCTACTTATTCTTTTAAGTAAAAAGGCTTCTGCAGGGATACGTTTCTTAGAGATGCATTTGGAGTAGACTGTTAGCAACAAGATATGATGAGAAAATTGGATCTGTTTGTAAACTGCTTACTTTACTGGCCATCTATTTACTTGAATTTCTTTTTAGTGTAACTCCTTGGTTTTAAGAAGTCCTGGTATTCCCTATTTTTGGGATTTGTGAACTAGAGTATACAGTTTTAACTTCTTCCCACAGGCATTACCAAATAAAACATGGATCCTGTAGAAAGGAGAACTATCCAAAGAAGCAAGGTATCTGCTAAGTGTGGTAGACACAGAACTATGTTCCAGTAGCTAGCATTCCTATTTTTAAGGAGGAATATACCAATGTATATTGGGTGCAGGGCCATGGGGCTTGCACAACTTTTACACAGCAGAGGGTAACAACTACGGTTTGTGGAGAAACAGTTGGGGGTCTGCCTCTACTACACTGCTCAGTATCTGCCACCTGTGAGAGGGCACTTCATTCTGCCTAATGGTAGGGCTGGATCTGCTTGTACGACCTTTTTAATGTGTACAAGCAGTTCTGATTTCTGATTATTGGCAAGTCAACGCTTGCCATAAGTGACATGGGGTAACTGGTTGTCCATGTATTAGAGAATTTGAAAGGTTTATGCAAAAATTAATACAATAGTGGTCCTTGTTTTGGGAAAAATCGGGGTCATTTTCTCATGCAGCAAATATTTTACTTTGTCTGTCCTGCCCATCAATTTGACTGGGTGACCCCTGAAGTTGTTACAAAATTGGGATACAAATATATGGCAAATATAAAAAACATTACATGGAGTCATTTCTCCTCTTTCCCCCCCTTCTCCTTCCCTTCTCCTTCAGATACCCATTTCACTGAGAGCTCCTGCTTTTTCATACAGGATGAAGGAAACAAAGAGCTTTTCCTTCCTTCCTTGGTTCTGGACATTCCTGTTGAGAGTTGTTGATAACAGATGAAGGGAGCAAAGTAGGCAGTTGCAATGTTCCGATACAGTGTGGACGCTTTCTTTCCTGTCCTCTCTCACTGTCTGTTTCTCGAAGGACCTTCAAATCCCAAAAGAGCCTTAAGACAATGGTGTGTAATCATACCAAATTACTTCATGGTTCACATGTTCTCTTAGCAACATCTTAGCAAAGATGCTTAGTGCTTTAATGTCTTCCTGCTCAACATCTGTTTGAAAATACTGTTTTATGTCAAACAGGAACACATTAGTCACAAACACCATCCAGTAATCACACCCCTAATCTTCCGTTTGGCATTTAGCTACCCGGCTGCAACCACACAGCCTGCCACAGGGTGAAAAGGCATCCTTGTCTCAAGAGTCACTGTGGCAGGAAATCTGATTTGGTTGTGGCGCCTTTCCAGGATGTGGACACCCGAGAATACAGAGTCATATTTCCAGAGACACAAAACACAGGCTGTTGTAACAAATGAGAACCTTGCTCCTATTTGGATAATTGTTCCTTCCATGTTTTGTCAAAAGCAGGTTATCACCTACATCAGAGGCCATGTGACTGGTAATCTGCATGAGCTAATGCAGCTAGAGAAGGTATGAATGGCAGAGCTCTCTAGCTGCATCTCTTGATTTTGGGATCCGGGCTGGAAGGAGATAATTGGAAGGAGCTATGAGAAGGAGAGTCATCTAACTGAATTCTCATTTCTTTTGTGGATCTGTGGATCCAAGGCATTAGGGGGGCAGAACCTCTATCTATTTTGGAAAAGCTTACAGGAACTACACTACAGCAGAAGGAACTGAAGCCAAAATAAAGTAGTCCAAAGGCAAATAACCAGACGTACCAGTCTAGTTTTGCTTAAAGCTCTTCTTGCTTGTAACTAAGCCTTAGGAGAAGCATGTCAACCTTTCAGAATGGGAAAAAAGCAGCACAAAAGCTGGGAAATGATTAATGGTTTGGTGAAATGCGGTGGGGCCAGGGGAAGGGGGCACAGCCATCCAGGGAACCTTAGAGGGCTCAGTTTGGTATCTGTACTTAAAATTCTGCATCCTGACTGTCTACAATGGCAGCTTTTCCCGTCAGCTTAAAATGCTCTTCTGATGAGGTGGGCCTTCTAAAGAAAACTGCTTCCTGTGGGATCAATTTCTCTTAAGGAATTTAAGCTTTGTTAAGCTAAACAGAAGCTGCTGCTAATATCTTCTTTCATTAATAATAACGTTCAACCAAGCCTTTTAGTAATTAACAGCACAATCCAGTACATGCCTACTCTACTGAATTCAATGGGACTCACCCCAAGGTAAGTGCTTATGGGATTGCATCTTAAATCTATACTTTACCTGTATGAATGACAGCTTCCATTACCTGTTCCAGTTGACCACCACACCTATTCACAGAAAATCTATGGATCTCCTCACAATTTGGGTCTAGATGGAGATGTTGGATTAAATGGGTCTCACTCACACCTACTCCATACCATAGCAGTTTCAATAGTGGTGTCAGTGTGGTTATGGACTAAACTCCACTGCACTGAAGGCATGCGTGCATTGGTGTGTAAGTCAAGAGGGAAACTGTGTAAATGATTACGAGTTGTAAGAAGTACAGCCTGGGGGAATCCAGATAAAATGTAGAGAGATGCAAAATTAATAATGACCCTACACTACAGCAGGATTCAGTTTGTTATGTTAATCGATACCCATGGTGGTACAGCAAAGCATTGTGATTTTTCACTATGAATGGTAAACCTACAGAGTCACGTAAGTTTTAATTCAACCATTTCATTCTGGAGCCTTCAAAGTTCTTTTGCTTAAAAATATGGCCACTTGCAAGTAATTCATACAGTGTCCTGCGACATTAATAGGTTCTCCCCGATCTTTGTTAAATGACAGATGAGTTCATGTATAATTTTGCATATGGACTAAGCTTCTTGCCCTTCAGATCTGTTTGAACCATTGGTTCTGCTGGTTGGTAAGTATGGGAATTGTACTCCAAAGATATCTTGGAAGGCGTGAGCTTGGGGAAAGCTGGTTCATTGAGTGGTATGTTGCTGCTGCTGCTGATGTCCATTGTAAATTAGGGCACTGTTGGCAAGCAAAGAACAATGCACCCACAAGACCTCTAAAAGGGGTGCGTCATTGTCTAAGACCGAATACAATTCACTATTGATGAGGCGTTTTAGGTGCAATTCTGGATGTCTTGTAACAGAAAAAGATAATTGTATTGTTTCATTTGTTCCCAGTACAACTTTGTGGATTAGGTGACTTTCTGTAAGTTGTCTCAGGCAGCCTTTGAGGCAAATATAATTTCTAGAACTAGTTTCTCCATGGATTCTGTCAGCTTTGAGGCTTCTCTTAAATACTGCTCATATTATCCCTCATCTGACCAAACAGTTTCTAGAAAAGTTGGGGGTTGCAGAACTGATTGAGGAATAGTGCAAATTTGTTAACTTTCATTCCCCCCTGCCCCTCTGTGTTCTACATGTCAACACTGGGGAAAAAGGCATCTCATTTCCATGTTATTTTTGAGATTTTGCTAGGAAAACATTAAAGCTGTCATTAAATTATCTGGTGAGGTTTGCTCTATAAGCTATAAACTTCCCTCTCTGCCTTAGCTCTGAAACAAGAACTGGCTAGGCTAAGGTAGTCCCTACATTAATTTCTCTATCATCCCAGGCAAATTCAGTGTTATGCTAAGTAGGAACTGCTAGAATTCCCTGGAATTTTACACCATCACTTCCTTCCAGGCATTACAAACTTCCTGTCCGGGAATTGCTCAGCCCTTGCGGAAATATGTGACTTGTGAATTCTTCTTTGCTTTGGTTTTCTTCCAATAGTTAACAAAAGGTCACAGCAAATTTCTTCCATCCTCTGAGTCCCATGCAGATCTTTCCCAGTCTGTAAACTGCTTTGGGGAGTTTCCGATAGAATCTTGTTAAGTGATTCCTAGTGAGCTAGTCTGATGCCTTGTTTTAGTTTTGAAGCAACTATTTCTGAATTTCTCTTGGCTTGCTTCCCTAATAAATGTATTGAGGTGGAAACTGGAACTGATTTGATTCTCTTGCGTAGCCTGGAACTTGGCCTACTTACTCATGCACTGAATCTTCACTTGGTGAAAGGATCTAAAAAGAGGCCTATCTGTTTAGATAGATGAACTACAAAGACTTATAAGCAGGATTTTGTTGTTGTTAGTTGTGAAGTCATGTCCAACCCATCGCGACCCCATGGACAACATTGTTCCAGGCCTTCCTGTCCTCCACCATCCCCCGGAGTCCACTTAAGCTCACACCAACTGCTTCAGTGGCTCCATCTAGCCACCTCATCCTCTGCCGTCCCCTTCCTCTTTTGCCCTCAATTGTTCCCAGCATTAGGCTCTTCTCCAGGGAGTCTTTCCTTCTCATTAGGTGGCTAAAGTATCTGAGTTTCATCTTCAGGATCTGACCTTCTAAAGAGCAGTCAGGGTTGATCTCCTCTAGGACTGACTGGTTTGATCGCCTTGCTGTCCAAGGGACTCACAGGAGTCTCCGCCAGTGCCACAATTCAAAGGCCTCAATTCTTCGGTGCTCAGCCTTCCTTATGGTCCAACTTTCACAACCATACATTGCAACTGGGAAAACCATAGTCTTGACTATACACACTTTCGTTGGCAGGGTGTTGTCTCTGCTTTTTAGTATGCTGTCTAGATTTGCCATAGCTTTCCTTCCCAGGAGCAAGCATCTTTTAATTTCTTGGCTGCAGTCCCCATCTGCGGTGAATAAGGCATGCTAAAAATACATTTGAGTGAGGCTGAGCGAGTTCTACCTTTGACTTGTAGCCTGTCCCAGTTCTCAGGACTGGAGGTCAAACATAAGGTTTGCCATAGACCTTCATTCTCTTCACCATAATTTAGCCTGAGTTTTGGCCTGGCTTTTCAGCTGGCCCGATGACATCCACTTTTCTCCTCTGGCAAATACTGCTTTCCCATTTAATATAAAGGGATTGAATAATATCGGAAATTCTGCTAATGCACCCCTATCATAACAGAATGCACTTAGAATGGAGCAGTATAAGGGTATGGAGGCAGTCCAGTACAATTCTAATTACCTCATCTTTTAAAATCACCTTGTTACAGACACAAAATAAATGTATAGTTCTGTTAGATGGGTGTGCAGTAATGATCTCCATCAACCACTCACAGATCCATAATGCATGAAAGCAGTTCCTCCACTAAAATCAATTGTTTAAAACAACAGAGGCCTCACAAATTGTAAGGAAGATGACAGCCATCAACTTGTAATACTGGGCCTCTACGAACATTCAAAGAGAAATGCTGTGAGGCATGGAAGTTCCAAGGAGACACTGCCTAGGGAACCTTATGGCTAATGGGGTGGAATAAAAAGCAAGCAAGCAAACAAATTTGTGGCCTTTCAGAATTTTTGAGCCTGTAACTCCCATCTGACTGAATGGGAGGAGGAGGATTCCTCAGATGAAGAGAACCACAGTCAGACACAGGAGCTGAGGCTGCAGCTGACTGCCTTCCATGGGATGGAGAAGCAGCCAGGTCCTTCTTGGGCTGTCCCTAGGGTGCCTCAAGAGAATGAGCCAGAGGCAGAGGGAATTCACACCTTGGAAAGAAGTTGCTTGTGGCTCCAGTAGAAGTTCAAACATCAGGCTGAGCATGGAGCCTTCCATTAAACAGCACACTAGCTTAATTAGTCAGCTGGGCTGATTTACAGCTGGCTATAAATTAGATCAGCCAGAGCCTGCTCTTTGTGGCAAACAGCAAGTGTTGTTATCTGGCTTTGTTGAAAATGAACCAGTATCTAGACTTCTGGCTTGTTTCCTGGACATTGTTTTGGACACCCCTGAAACTTTGGACACACACAAACTGTATGGCTTTGACTTGTGGACTGAACTGATGGATCTGAGGAAGGTAATACGGAGACTGGGAATTTTTGGGCACAGGGTTGGAGCTAGAATACCCAACAGTGAGGAATGGGGTGAGTTGTAGGTCAAAACATCTAGAAAGAGAGAAATTGTCCATCCTGTACTCTAAACAGCAGTGACAATGCACATTCCCCTTATGACACATGCTGTGAAACGATCAAATGCTCTATTATTTGATGTGTACCCTGCTTTTCTACCAAGAAAAATGGCGCTCAAGTCAGTCACCATATTCTGGCCACAGATAACGCATCTGCTTTAGATGAATACAGAAAGTAGAAGAATGACAGTGAACCCAATGACTACTTGTTTTCAGCAATTTGTGTGACTGATAAACTGCAGTGGGAAGAATTGTAAAGTCTACAAACTAGTCTAAAATGGGGGAAAGGCTTAAGTAGGGCAATGGGGACAAATATGTAATGTTAAATATGGGAAGAGTGTAAGTAATGGAGATAACTTTCTAGCAGCAGTGCTTTACTCCCCAGCAGCCCATCCAAAATGGGAAAAAAGGAAGATTAGAGAAAACAGCAAATATTATGAGCAAAAGTGGTAGCTGCATAGTAAAACACATACTATTCATGAAGAATTTTCTAGCTTCAATCCCTGGTTTTTCCAGATTGGAAAAGCTCCTGCTTAAACCCTTGGAGAAATGCATCTAGCCAATGCTGGCGACACAGGGCTAGATGGACCGATGATGATCTGACTAGGGATGGTCACATCTGTGGATTTCACAGATGTTCATTAGCCTAACTTTCTTTTAACCAGAATTTCATTCTGCATGCTCTAATTTGCATTATTTCAATGTGTATTACATAAGTGCATATTAGTACAAGTGCAAATTTGCACATTCCCCCACAAAAATAAAATTTAAAAGTTTGGAATACACATGATTCGGAGCAATCCACTGTGGATTCCACAGGAACTTAATTGACTCCATTGCGGATTTTTCTAACATCCCTAGGCCTGACTTGGTGTAATAATGCTTCCTCGGCTCTTAACATGTATCAGTGAAGTTATGTTTCCATAGCTGATGTCAAACTCATATGCAGTAAAGGGTTTTTTTCTGTGTCTGTAAGCAGTGATATTAAAATATAGCATCATTTAGGGAATTTCTAGATATGGTACTATCACCCTGCCTCATTCACTGAGATTTATAGAGGGTCAAGACAAGGTTGCTTCCTATTTGTGACTTGTGTTTTCTTATTGCTTCTTCCATCTTTTTCCATAATGCAGAAAATCTGTAGTGGGAAAAAAAGATGGAACAGCTGCACAAGTCCTTTGGATTGCTATTGCCAGCAGACCGCATTGGTTCTGCCATAGATACTGGTATTTGAAAGGATTAATAAGTGAGATGCAAGAAAGATGGACATTATATGATAAA